TCCCCCCAAAGCCCCAGTAGATAGTTGTGTGTCATAGCTGCACATCCTTCTAGTTGCTGTATGTGGGACGCGGCCTCAGCATGGCCGGAGAAGCAGCGCGCCGGTGGGAGCCCGGGATCCGAACTCGGGTCGCCAGCAGTGGAGCGCGCTCACTTAACCACCAAGCCACGGGGCCGGCCCCAGCTTTCTGTATTTTAGACCCCGTGGTGGAGGCATGGCACATCAGGTCCTTCTACTGCAGCATACAGTGGGATGTGTGCAGCTACATAGCCCCTGTGTGCTGGCCACAGTAGACCGATGCATTGCAAGAGGCTGGAACTTGGGCGCTCTTTCTTCCTCCCTTACTGTAAGTAAACACTGTACCACTTGGGCCTGGTGTGCGTGTTGTCTGTTCTCAGCAACCTCAAATCATGCACTAGTCTCTTCTCTGGGTGGCACTTATCCGCCTTTTAATTTTGGCCTCACGGTCTGGTTACCCGGTGAATCGTGAAACATCAATAATTAGAGCAAAATACAGATATTGTTAGAAGACCAAAAGCTAAAAAGGTTTACGACCAAAATATCCTCACTAAAGGAAATTCTGAAGGATATAATGCAGTTAGAAGAAAAATGATTGAAAACAGAAGATGCAAGATGCAAGAAAGAATAATGAGGAAAAATACTTGGAAATACGTGGGCAAAACTAAGTAAACATTGAATGTGACAACCATAATATAACGCTTACTTTGTTGGGAGGAAAATATGCTAGAATTAAAATATAGGTCAACAGTAGATTGTGATATGAGAGGCTGTAATCACATTTAAAGCATGTTAAGGTCCTTGTATTGTTTGGGAACAAGGTAAAGATATTAACTTTAGATTTTGTTGAGTTAAATGCAAGTAAAAATACCTAAGGTAACTACTAAAAGAGTACACATAGAGCATAAATTTTCAAACAAGTAGAAGGAAAAATAGAATGAGACAGAAGGAACATAAGCAAAGTTAATCAATCCAAAAGAAGACAGGAAAGGAGGAACAAAACAAAATAAAAATCACTCAAAAAGCAAACACAGAAATAGGACAAATCAAAAGTACTACAAAAATGAGTCCTAATATGAACAATCACAGCAAACATAAATAGCCTAAACTCTGTCATTGAAAGACCGAGATTATAAGACTCAATTTTTTAAAATTTAGGTATATGATGTTTACAAAATATATATCTAAACATAAGGCCACAGAAAGGTCAAAAGTCAAAGAATGGTAATGAGTGCCCAGATCAATCTTTGTTCTTAGTACTATCCTCCAACAAAAGAACTTGAGATCCTTGGAAAAACGGCTCATTCTTCAGCTGGGTCAGGGAATCTACAAGATGAGCCTGGAGCATCTTGTAGTGCCAGAAAGTAACAAAGTGCTACACACACACACACATACACAGACACACACACACCCCCCAAACTACAGACACCAACTGATGGGGGTATGTCAAAAGGACACAGCAACCAACTGAAAGAGCTCCCAAGGGTCAAGCTGGAATAATTTGAGCAACAAAATAAATAAATTGGGTTATAACCCAAAGTAGAAAATGAACACTCGTGAGTCCATACCAGTATAAACAAATGATTGTATAAGTAAATAAATGGGGAGAGAAAGACAAATCTCCCATGTAGAAGAATTCCAAATAACTTATGTAGACTCTTTCAAGGATGTGGAGCATAACACTGACTTCTTTCCAAAGAGCCCATTTGCCCTAGTATGAAGCACAAACATTATAATTTCCCATATGTGCCATGAATAACAAAGGTTTAGACTAGATTATCTGTTCAGTTATTATATCCTCTTTTATGTCAAAGACGGATACCCAGGATTGGCTTCCTCAACTCCATCCCACCCTCCTTCCAGGGTGCCTTCCTGTACTGCAGGGGCTGAAAAGCTAAAAAAAGAACCTACATTTCCTAGACTCTTGGTGCTAATGTTCTGGATGAAAACTAGGTACCACCAAATCAAATGCATGTCCTTCACATTTGATGGCTGCAGGGAGGAGGAGGTCGTTGTTGCTATTTCCACTAACAAGAAATATCACGGAGAAATAGCACCGAGTGACGGGGAGGCCAGTGTCTGGTCACCAGCTTTGTGGGTGCCGAGAGGCGGTTATGGCAGCTGTGTCAGCTTCTAGATCTCTGGATTCCAGCTACAGTGGCACTTTTGAATTCAGTATTTTCTGACTGCTAACAATGTCCTTTAATTAGGTTTTATATGTTTTTTTTAAAGACTTTATATTTTTAGAGCAGTTTTAGGTTTACAACAAAATTGGGAGGACAGTACAGAGATTTCCCATATACCCCCACACATGCCTAGCCTCCCCCATTATCAATATCACTTATCTTAATGGTACATTTGTTACCAGATGAACCTACAGTGACACATCATAATCACCCGAAGTCCAAAGTTGACCTTAGGGTTCACTCTTGCTGTTGTGCATCCTATGGGCTTGGACAAATGTACAGTGGTGTGTATCCATCGGTATAGTTTCATCAGAGTATTTCCACTGCCCTAAAAATCCTCTGTGCTCTGCCTATTCATCTCTCCCTGCCCTTCCTTCCCTACCCCTCAGCAACCACAGATCTTTCTATTGCCTCCATAGTTTTGTCTTCTCCAGAATGTCATATAGTTGGAATCACACAGTATGTAGTCTTTTCAGATTGGCGTCTTTGACTTAGCAACATGCATTTAAGGTTCCTCCATGTCTATTCATGGCTGGATAGCTCATTTCTTTTTAGTGCTGAATAACATTCCATTGTCTGGATGTACCACAGCTTATTTATCCATTCACCTACTGAAGGACATCTTGGTTACTTCCACATTTTGGTAGTTATGTATAAAGCTGTTCTAAATGCCTGTGTCCAGGTTTTTGTGTGGACACAAGTTTTCAACTTTTGGGAGAATATATTTTTTCTACAATAGTAATTTAGATATTCCTATGTGCAAGTTTATAGCAGTGAGAAATCACAGAGGTGATTTCTAGGAAAACATAAATTGTCAAAATTGATTCCCAAGGAGACAGAAAACCAGGCTACACCAAGTGTGGAAAGCACTGAAGGTTGTCAGAGATGTGAGTTTCAAAAAAGCCACCTGTATCACATGGTTTCATACATGAAGTAAAGCAAATCTTTAAGAAACAGATAATTCCTAATACCATTCCAGAGCACAGCTAAAGGTGAAAATTTTCCTAGTATGTTCTATGAGGCTAGCATAATACTGGTACCAAAACTTGTAAGAATAGTACACAAAAAAGGCATCTAGCAATGGAACACTACTCAACCATAAAAAAGACAAAATTGTGCCATTTGCAACAACATGGATGGACCTTGAGCGTTTATGATAAGTGAAATAAGTCAGCAACAAACAGTGTATGACTTCACTCATATCTGGAAGATAAACAAACACAGATAAGGAGAACAGATTAGTGGTTACCAGAGGGGAAGGGGGTGGGGGGAGGGCGAAAGTGGTAAAGGGGCACATATGTATGGTGATGGATAAAAACTAGACTATTAGTGGTGAACATGATGCAGTCTATACAGAAACTGAAATATAGTAAAGTACACCTGAAATTTACATAATGTTATAAGAATATGACCTCAATAAAATAATTTTTTAAACAGACATTTATATATTTTTAGATTTGAGGAAAATTTTTCTAGCTTGAGAAACACTATTAGTTGGAAACTAACTGCACATCCCGGAGCAGGAAATAAATCTGTTTTCTTGTGGGCTTGTGTGTGGTGCTGTGTATAATATATATGAGGCACTCAGTGAATTGATACCTGCTCGGTGCTCTATTGGATATAGATCTGCTCTAAGAGAGTCTTTCCATTTGAAACAAAGTGGAACTCACTTTCAAACAAAGCAGGGGAACTCTTACTTTTCACATTCTTTTATTTCAGGACAAAAACATTATGAAGAAGTTTTAAAATACTGGGCATCTAGACCCCATTGGCAGTCAATTCAGCTAAATGGAATTCAAAGGTGAAATATGGATTTTATCACTGAAAAAAGAAAACAATAATACCTATCAATGCTCAGGCTTTTAGAACACAGTATTAGCAAAATGGGTACTAAATATACCATGTGGTTGCTTTCTAGCCTAGGTATGGTGAACAGGAACACAAATAGAATGTATGAGCCATAATTTTGAGCAATTTCCCTTATTTTCTAAGTACTGGATGTGATTAAGCTGATTAGTGCAAATAAACAAATGAAAAAACCACCACCTAATTACAATTGGGAATTAGGTAAAGCACCTCAGATAAGTTGTTGATATACTTTATTTTGGTGATATTATTTCTCCTATGAAGCTGGACATATAGTTCAATAAATTATTTACATAAATCATATTTATTCCACAATGGTCACCAGGTAGAGCTAAGGACTTGATAATCTGCTGTGCTGATCTTCGTACTCCACACACGTGGCATTAATAATGGAGACCTGTTCCTCCCTTTGTCATAACCGCCTCATTCATCACATACCCTTGACACCCAGTTATTCACTCTTTCTTTCTTGTTTAAGTCTGTTAAATATCAATCATTCTGCAAGTTTCCAGTATCATGTTTTACATTCCTCTCTATTAAATCCAAAAAGGAAATAATTACCTGAGGACAAACCCCTGTGAGGTCCAGAGGATGCACTTTTCAATTCTATTTACATTGTCCTGGGTATCTGGGCACATGTTGTTCTACGGGGTTTCTTAAGGTCGCACTAATTAGTCTCTTAATTTTGCATTTCTATATAGTTTAGGATTACAGGAAAGAAGTATGTTTGTGTGTGTGTGTGTATTCTTATCTGTAATTCAATATACTAGCAGGATAAAACAACGAAGCATAAATCTATATATATTCCTCCAGAAAACATCAGACTGCACATTAGCCACCATCAATTGAAGACCAAAAGAGAGTTCTTTTCACAGCATACAAATAAAGCCTTTCTGCTGAAATTACCATTTTTCAAACTGCCGTTTGCAGCAAGGTGGTCATTTAGAAAAAATTCTCTTCCAAACCTAAGTAATTTACATGGTGCTGCCCTTAATTATATCTCCTTTTGGTTTGGTTTTTGAAAACTGAACCAACTGGAGTATGCTGAGCCATAGGACAGCCAAGCTATGAACAATCTAGAGAGGGCTGGGTAAAGGAAACAAACAAACAAACAAAACAAAACAAAACTCAAGGCTGGAGATGAACTAGTGCACTCTTAGATGGTTACTGTTTCTTCCAAGATTTAGATCTCAGTATCCACTTTATTTCATTGAATACAACTTGTCCGCCATCTTGCAAACAGTTGCGAGTCAACATGAGCAGTTTAGAGGCTAGATGTCAGAGTTAGACACACCTAGGTCTGGATCCCAGACGGTCCATTACCAGCTGGATGATTTAAAAAACTCTTAACCTCCCCAAGTCTCAGATTCCTCATCTATAAAATGCTGGATAACAATATCTAATTTTTATGACCTAAAGTGGAAAGAGGTAAGGGAACAGGTTGATGAAGAGCAGGCATTTGATGTACATTATGGTCCTAGATTTTGTTTCAGGTGGTGGGATCATAGGTGTTTATTACATTATTAAAAATCAATAATTAAATAACTAAATAACAAACTTGGGTCATGAATGAGCCAAGGATTATGTTTAATCCGATTCTGTGCACTGAGATCCTAATAATAATTATAACCGTAATAACAATAATAATATTATTTATTTTACAGGGTTGTTGTCAGATTTAAATAACATATGTAGAGTGTTTAGCACATCTTATGGCACATTTTAACTGCTCTATAAAGATAGCTGCAATTACTATGATGGGGGGGTGAGTGGCAGTGACGGGTGAGGAGGGAGAATAGAACTTCTTAAAAAGCGTGCTGAAGAAATGACGATGTCTCATAAAGAATGATCCTTTTCTATTTACTAACCTAAAATTCAGGAAACTGAAATTGCATCTAAATGACTAGGTTCCCTCTCACAAACGAGATGATTAACACATCATTTAAAAGTCTAATCCTATGGGATATAGAATTTAGAGTTACAGTACTATTTAAACAGTTGTTCATTTATTTGTTTTCTGTTAAAGAATGGTCTTGCCTTCAAGAAGCTTACATTATTCAGGGCAGAGGGGGAAATAGTACCAGAACATGAAACAATTACAAAACTAGAATGTACTAGAATGTGTGAAACGAATGACAGTTCCTTTAAGGAGTCCAGACAAAGGAGAAAGCTTCCTAGAATAAGAAGTTGAGCTTCAACAAGGGCAGGATTTGAAAATGTACTGAAAATTGGGTAGAGTAGAATTCCACTTTTAAATGAGAAAGTTTTCTTTCTATTCTTTCCTGGACATGGAGGCCATGTCTGCCCCTTACAGTCATTACTTTTCCATGACCAATAAGAGCAATATACCCAGGGGGGAAATAAGAACAAGGTAGTGGTTTGACCCCAGATTGTATTAAACAATCTCTTTCACTTTCTTGCTTCTTAAATACTAATATAATTTTAAAATAGATTCTAAAATATTGCCTCAAGGTACAATTATTGGGAACAGGCACAGAGACAGAGAAGAAGTGCCAGGTATTGGATCAAGTGCGATGTCTGGTAGTATCTGAGACTCAAAGCACACGAGAATGTGAGCAAATCTGGGAGACTGGATGAAAAAAACTCTGATATAAGGAAGAAAAGGAACTTTAAAGATAGTAAGAGACAAAGTAAAAACAGCAAATAGTTTTTCTTTCTTTATAGGTTATTAAAAGATGGCATGAAAAAAACATGTAATTTTGATGAGAAAGTAGCCATTTCAATTAGCCAAACTTCCAAATAGTGAAATTAATTGCACATAAGTTAACTTAATATATATGAAAAATATATATGAAATATACACATGAATATATATATATTCAATACTGGCAGTTCAATAGAACAAGAAAATTTACATAAATAACAAATAATTATTAATGTTCCTTTCTACTCTGAAATTCAAAGATCCTATTAAATAATTTTACTTTAATGAATAATCATCCTAGGAAATACACATTATACTAAAATAAAGTTAGGGTAAATATTCAGAAAAGAATAGCAATATTGCTTAAAGTAAAAGATTTGCTTGTAGAAAAGAAATTTTATAGAAACTGCTCTAAAATCTGAAATACTAGTATGGGAAAAAGTTAGTAAGGATTTGTTTGAAACATGTAAAATTGTAAAGGGTATACTGTAAATTGCTCTAGACAATCCAACTTTCTATTCCCAACACAACCAAGGACAAAAAAGAGTTTTGATCAAATTAAAAACTAGTAACTTCAGCAGAGGAAAAAGTACAGAAAAACTACACAGGGTATGAGAATTGCCTCTCAAATCACCCAGCATGAAAAACTAGACAAACAAATTTATTTAAGTAAAAATAGTGTGCTACTTTGAAAAGCATGTGATATTTAACAAATGTTAACAAATACATATTCATTAAATATTTATTTAGCTCTTGCTGTGAACAAGACAAAAATTCTCTGCTTTTATTGAGCTTACGTTCTACTGGGAGAGACAGAGAACACACAAGTGAAGAGTCAAATAAATCATATAATTTCAGATTGTGATGAGTGCTATGAAGAGAACAAACCTGTAAAAGAAAATAGAGAGTGACTGGGGATGTGGTGAGGTGG